AAAAATGCCTTAAGGAAAACGGGTATCCAAAAGGATTTATCCTTAAGTACAGCAAAGAAAGAGATGAGAAAGAGAAGTCTCCAACAGTTGAAAAGAAGGTGTTCATTTGCCTCCCATACAAAGGAGAAACCGTATCGCAAAAGATTGAAAAGAGGATGAAGGGAGCAATAAAGAGATGCTTCCCTGCAGCCAATCTGGTGACACTATACAGTACTACATACTCTATAAGGCAATCGAAACTGGATAAGTACCCTGCTGACGTTACCTCCAACTGCATTTATAAATTTACGTGTACCTGCTGCAGTGAGTACATTGGAAGGACAGAAAGAAGGGCTTCTATCCGGTTTTCAGAGCCTACTCCAAGAAACTTATGCCTAAAAGGAAGCAGATATTTACAAAGTGCAATTACCAGACACCTTGTGGATACGGGTCATTTTATCGAGATTTCTAAATCCTTCAAAATATTAAACAAACAAAGGACAGCGAATCTACTACGATTTGCTGAAGTAATTGCAATCAAACATCACAGACCAAACTTATGCATACAGAAAGAGAGTGTGGTCAATCTCTCACTCCCTTGGTAACCATATCACTTTCATTACACTGATTAGTCATACACACTAGTGAGCTCAACTCACTAAGCCAGTTTTCAAATTGATGAACTTTGACCTTCTTGAGTTGCTATGTTGACACTGTTTATTAGATTTTTCTGTTTTCTGTCTTCTCTCACCCCCCTCTTTTTTTTCTTCTTTCATAGTTTGATAGTATATAAATTGATGGTGACTTAGATTATAATACTTATATTCCAGATGCGTTCACCTTATAATGTTTTCTCTATTGCCTTTCAAACAATGAAGTACGAAATGTTATTATTTATAACCATTGTAATTTCAGGTAGTTTGCAGTTAGCTGATGAGAACCTGTGAAATAGAATGATATCATTTTATACTGCAAATCTGGTCTTTCTTTCTCTATCAAAATTTATCAAGGGAACCAAATGTATAATATGGATTTGCTTACTACCACAGTGCCGAAGATTCATACCTATACTAATACTGTAGTCTCCTACACAGTAATTAATAATTAGGGTTGCTATTAGATGGTTGGAGGCAGTCGGCAGGAAGCCTTGCACCTAGGTTTCGTACTAGTTGACACTCACCAATCATCAAGGTGCGTCTGCAGCCTTGAAGGAACTCATGTCCCTTCTGAGATTCGAACCCGCGTCACCCAGTGAGTGGTGCAGTCAGAGACGTTACCACTGAGCTATTCGGGCTCGCGAAGGACAATCTACACAATGTGAGGTATATTATTTACTTTCCTGTCCTTTTTTTCTGAAATAGGAATAAATTTCTAAGTTGAAGTATCATTCTTAATTGATTGTGTTTATCAGAGAGAACCTTCTTTTTGTAGTAGTAGTAGTAGTACTAGTCAAAAATGTATTCACATCAAATTATTTCCTCTACAGATCTGAAGACGATGTCAAGGGGACAGACTTATCATTGAGCATTACTGATGAGTGCCTCCTGCTTAGACAATTCTATTTAACGCATAGCAGGAATTCATTTTATAGTGGGTGTGTGTGTGTTACTGACAAAATTTATCAGTAGTATATAGACTCAGATTGATAGAAGGTAATCAGAATTGAAAACAACAGAAGTAGAAGTGTTTATCTCTCAAATCTGGATTTAGCCTACTCTGCGGTCAGGAAATAATCTCAAGGTTTAACTTTCAGAAAATCAACACCTACAATTAGAACAGTTTATTATCGGCTGGCGTCAGTGGCACAGTGGTTAGGACGCTCACTGACCATGCACATGGTCTAGGTTTCAATCCCCGGCTACAGGCGCACTCCTTTAACTCGCTAAGCCAGAAATAATGCTGGTAAAGAGGAAAGGTTGGTCATGAGGCTAGAAAACCCATCCTGTAAAATTAAACACTGCTAAAGAAACTTCAAGCCACCCGCTGTTCCACTGGGGAACGTGAAGCAAAAAAATTATCGGCTGATTTAGTAGACCGTCAATGTGGCTGATAATGTATAAATATGGTGTGAATTTCCTCAATAAAAAGTTCATTATTAAGTGTTTTGCATTCCCTCTCGTTACAGTTTGAGATAACATTAACATTTAAATTGTACACTTGTGTTTAACTTTCTTAAGAATCGGGCAACATGTAGGATTGAAATTTCTGCTAGTAGGTTGGATTAATCTCCATAATCTTGGCACTGAAAGTGTAACAACAAAAGACAAGGGCCGGCAACAGATCCTTTTATTAAGGAAATCAACAGGTATTTATATATATTTCACATACATTATTATAGCTTAGTCAAGTAGACAAACGCAGTCTTCTGATTGGTTTTTTCCGGTAACCATCGAAAAGTGGAGCCATCTATCTGAGAATCATATTTGCCCACGTTAAGTTTGCTGTGATTGGTTGTTGAATCAGTTTTCTAAGTAACAGTTAAACAAATAGTGTATTCAAAAAGAATAAACAGAATAGATATTTCAAGCTTAGGTGAAAGGAAATTTAATGTTAAAGCGAATGTTATTTCACTACAGCAAATTTCTAATGTTACATACGAATGGCTATTAAATACTTGAATAAATTTGAAGTTTCTTTGCAAAGGTTTGATTGGTTTCTGTTACGGTCATGGACTGACATCAATTATAGGACCGTTGAAAGACGGGCAGTGCTGAACATATGTTTCCTCCTAGTTTGAGAATTTTCAGAGGTTAGAAGTTATGGATTGCAGGGTCCCAAGTTATTTGCTAATATATGGACTAGCTTGATATGACCCGTTGCACAAGAGGTGGCTCTCGTGGCCCAAGTGGTCTAGTGGATAACGCTTTGGCGTTCGAAACTATGGGTACTGGCTTCGAGCCTCGGTGGGAACATCATCACTCACTGGGAAATGCAGGTACATCCAGCTGACGAGTCCAAAATAGGACGAAATGCACATCCTGGATTCCACTGCTAGCCACCATCCACCAATTCTATACTAATTAAATACCCAGACATCGTCGAAGCATCTGCACAAGAAGCCGACATGTCAACCTGAGACCGAGCACTTCGGTCCAATCAATCGACGGGAAAATCAAAAATTCAATTCAGCTTGATTGGTTACTTAAAAGTCATGAGTTTTATCCTCAGTGGGACCACGGGTAAGTGATAACGAATAGTCCGAAGCTCTGTGGTTTTTAATGATTCTGTAACTAATGTCAATAAAAGATAAAAATCTGAGACTTAAATAACTTGAATGGTTTGATGAAAGAGTTTTCCTCACAGTGTACATGGTAACCAAATCAAACAAGGAATTACATAAGAGTTTTAAAGGAATACAAGAGTTTTAAGAAGTTAGAAAAACAAAGCGAAAAATCAAAATTTAAGTCACATCAACAGAGTTGTTATCATGATTGTAGAAGTGGCTGAATAATTTTCTTTGGTATGCATAGTTCTGTTTCTTATAGCTGAATAGCTAGGGCTTCTGCAATACAAAGAAGACGGAAACGTATTGTATTCGGCAGGTTGTTCTTCAGTTTGTAGATTACTTTGAAGGAGGCGTTTGTTGAGATGGAATGACCTATGTTGACGAGATGTTCGATTATTGCACTCCTGGCCAACACCAACAGCAACAACAACAGAGAACAATCAGCCAGTATAAATGGGAGGAACCTGAAAGAAACAACCTCCTTCATCTACCTACTTACCTGGGAAGCATCGTTTCAACTACAGGCGGAACTGATGAGGATATCAAAGTCAGAATCGGAAAAACAAGACAAGCATTCATTACTCTCAAGTTCGTGTGGAGGTCAACAGAACTCAGCATCAAAAATAAGATCCGGACTTTCAACTCCAATGTGATGTCAGTGCTACTCACTATACGGATCAGAGACTTAGCCAGAGCGTCATGAAGAGCATCTCAAACAAACTACAGACTTTCATTAACAGTTGTCTTCGCTCAGTACCACTCAAGATCAGATGGCTGGACAGAAAAGATCAGCAACAGGGAGGGATCTCTGGCAATGAGCGAGCCAACCCAGCAGGAACCGATTGCGCAACAAATGAGCAGAGGAAACCATCAAGTGACATCACTAGACAAGCCATCGCTCGAGTGGAACCGGAAAGGGAAGCGGCGAGTTGGTCGTCAGTGTGAGGGTGACTTGGAGGAGGTCATGTGAGGAGGAGATGAAAGTATATGGGCAGACTTGGAGCGGAGTGAAAAAGTTGACAGAAAACAGAAGGCAATGTAGACTCGCAGCTGAAGCCCTATGTTCCTCTAGGAATTAAAGGATACAATAATAATAATACAATACGGCTGCAGAAAGGAAGTAGTGGCCCTATAAGGAGTTCTATAATCGAGCATCTTGTCACCACTGATCATTCCATCTCAACAAACGCCTCCTTCAAAGTAATCTACAAACTGAAGAACAACCTGCCGAAGACAATGCGCTTCCGTTTTCTTTCCGTTGCAGAAGCCCTTACGTAATTCCGTATGCTATTTTGTTTCCATGTACACAGTGGGCACAACTTTTCCATCAAACTATTCATGTTATTACGTAACTCGTCTTTAACGATCATTTATGACAACTCATCAGTTTTTTTACCACCCTCTTTTGTTCACATCCAATACATCTGAATACTTTTTGTATTACGTAACTCCACGAAAAAATTACTAATTCTCACCCATTTAGTTAAAATAACCATAACCAATAGTGTTTTCGTCTGACAAACTTAATGTACACATCCATATAACCCATATATATATTTACAATTGTACAGATGATAAGATGAATTCGCAGAAAAGAGACTCTTCGCTCAACCGCTCTGTTCTCCTCGCCATTAATGTTCGAATAGGGATTTTTCCCATAAACTTAAATAACTGCATTCTTCTTTCTTGATAAGACTGACTGTTGATATTTTGAAACATATCTTTGGGTGTTACATTATTCTCTACCGTAATTTCACCTTTCTCTTCCCTCCTTTTTTCTCTCCGTGATATCAAGGAATTAGCTAAAAAGATGACAGCTATGTATCGTTTAGCTAAAGAACAATTATCTCAACAATATCATTATGATTTTGGTTTAAGAGCGTTACGCTCTGTATTACTTATGGCTGGTGCAATTAGACGAGATTATCCAACTGTCAAAGAAGATCATTTATTAATGCGTGCATTACGTGATTCAAATATACCAAAATTAATTAAAGATGATACACCATTATTTATGGGACTTGTACAAGATTTATTCCCTGGTATGGAGTTTGAAGCAGCTACTATTCCACAAAAATTGGCTGAAGCATGTGAAAAAGTTTTAGAATTACATCGTTATACTATAGTTGATGAACAGGTTAGTTTTGAAGGAAAAAAAATAGGATTAATTGCATGTGATTATTGTACTGTTGAAATAATGATAATTATTATTATTAGCTATCATTGTTCCCTTGGGTTACTCATGGAACATAGGGCTTCAACTCCACGTCTCCACTTGCCACTTCTGTCTTCATTCTGCTGTATTTTCCACCTGCATCCATGTTATTCCATACTGTTTCAACTCCTCTCTCTTCACACGATCTCCTCCATGTGACCCTCGCGCTGACGTCCTACTCGCCGCTTCCCAATCACTCGGGTTCCACTCGGGCAACGGTCTGACGCGCGCGATGTCACCCAGCGCTACGCCTCCTCAGCGAGCGAGTGTCCAATCCATCCATCTCCACTTTCTCCAACTGCATATTTGTTGGTTGGCGATTGCCTCTTGTCTTGTTTGTTTGTTCCCATAATTTCGCATAGTTGGTGATTCTTTCCGGCCCGGCCATCTGATCTGATCTTCAGTATAGATCCAGCGAAGACAGTTAGTTCTTGATGAAGGTCTGCAATAACCTGTTGGAAATATTCTTTGTGACCCGCCCACCCGCCAAGTTTCTGATCCGTTCCGTATAGAAGAACTGACTGAATTGACGTTGTTTGTATTGAATATCCTATTGAATTTTGTTGTTGATTCTGGCTGAGTGACGAAGATTTCCAGATTGGTTGTTCCAGGTTGATGAATGTGTTTCTCGCCTGCCTTCCCGACTCTCGCTCGATTTGACATCCTCCTCGTCCGTTCCGACTGGCTGTAGTTGAGACAATGCTCCCTAGCTAGATAAGTGAATGAATTAACTAACCTCTTTCAAATCCCTCCCGTTGTGATGGTGATTGATGCTGGATGTTGTGGCTGCTGTTGTTGTTGTTGTTGTTGGTTGGTTGGTTATTTTCATAACCTCTGCCCTGTCTATGTTCACCTGGAGTTCTGTCTTCGCCGGCTGCTTCTTCAACCAGTTTGTCGGTTTTCGCTTGTAAGTCTTCGATTTTGTGTGACATCAAACATAAATCATCCACGCGCGAAATCCAGGTCTTCTAGTTTCTTCACGTCGGTCGATCCAGGATATCCCTGTCCGGTTTCTCGTTTCCCACTCTCTGATACATAATCCAGTCCACCACAATTAGGAATATCATTAATGATAGATAATAAGCACCCTTGTTTGACTCCTGTGTTTACTCCAGACGCCTCGCTGAGTTTTCCGTTGTGGATCACTTGAAATGTGCCGTTGTCGTACAGCTGTTGAATAAGGTTGATGAATACTTGGGGTACGCCGTAGTACTCGAGTAGTTTCCAAATCACTTCGTGGCTAACGCTGTCTCTTGAAGGCCTTCTCTAAGTCTATCAAGTTGAGGTAGAGGTTTGATTGCCATTCCATGCTTTGTTCTGTGATGATGATGCGTAAAGTTGCAATTTGGTCAGTACATGATTTGCCTTTCCTGAATCCAGCTTGTTCTGATCGGAGTTCTGTCTTCAGTGCGTCCTTTATTCTCTCCAGGATGATGTGACTCAGGATTTTACTTGGCGTCGACAGGAGTATGACTCTTCGCCAGTTTAAATAATAGTAATAGTGAAATAATATCTTGCCTAAATGTACGCAACAGATATCCTGTCTTGTTACTTCATCGTTCTGACTAGCTGGACAATTAACCTGACAGTTATTCATGAGTTTTGAAATCAGTGAAAAGAATAGAAGAATATATAAATATATCCGTCGAAGGCAAAACTTTATTATGTGTATACATTCCCTCTGATTCATTCTGTTGAATGTAGAAGCTTTAGTATGGTTAACCGCCTCTGATTATAGCTTTCTGCATTCAGTCTCTCCATTTATGTCATGCATTATGATCAGTAGTATCGAGTTAACGCGTGGAGTATTAGTTATTATTATTATTATTATTATATAAGCTTTATTCCAAATCAGTACTTGTGATACAGAATGGAATTCTCAGCATTTTACTACAATATTGCATCCAGTTTTTACATTAACAATAAATAAAGTTCTACATAGATTAAAGATTATCTCAACAACATATTAGTATGTCGGTAGCAAAGCCAAAATTAAAATGTTTGAAGGTGTTACAAAAGTAGATACTACTAGCATATTTACTGGCGTAAGCGATAGCAAAATGGTCGAGATATACAGAGTGTAAAAGAACAACAAGATGTTTTAACTAGAGTTTGCAAGGAAGAGAAAAACAAAACAGCACTTAACAAAAATAAAGACAAAAAAGGTAGAGAGAATGGAAAAGAGAGAAAACGTTGTACCCATAAATGATGTGAGTTGGAAAGACGAGATTCATTGGTTCTAGTGACTATTTAATAAGTTAAAGGTTTCATGCCTGATGCATTCTTTATCACACAGAACACGGGCTAGGTAGGGTATGGATGAGTTTTTGTACTTACTAGTGCGGGCATATAGTTTCCTATATAGACTTCTTGTTTTCCCTGAAGAGATACATGGGGAGAGTTGTGAGTGTAGAAAGTGTTGTGAGTCAGATAAAATGGACTTCGCCCATTTTTCACATGAGTCCATGTGCCTGTCCACCAGACTGTTAACAAGCTGGCAAAGTGGTAAACTAGATATGATAGAGAAGATTTGTAGCTCAGGTGGATAATTTTGATGTGGTTTTGTTCTCTGAGCTGGATAGTTAGTTTGCGAAGCTTTCATCACCTTACTGGGTGACATCTTCAGCGCATACTTCAAATTGAAGTGAGCTTTTAGATTTCTCCACGAGTTTATTAATCATTCCTCCTGGTGACCTTGGACGTGATTGGTTGTTTATGTATGTTTTCACACCTTCTAGGTTACTTGTGTTGGAACTGATTGTTTCTGTGACTTGAACTTTGGCCAATCGTGTGTGAAGTTTCTTTCTTATTGGTTGATAAATTTTGTCTATCTCGATGTGTCTATTGATTGATGATTCACTGGAATGCCAAGCTTCTAAAAATTCTCTAGCATTCTTGTTATTTCCTTTGTCTAATATTTGAACGTTGTCCCAGTCGAATTGATGTCCGTGGTTGTCTGTGTGTAGTGAAATGAGGGAGTGTATATCATGTCTTTTGACGGCTAGCTTATGTTCGTGGATACGAAGACGAAGGGGACGTCCACTTTGGCCAATGTAGTGTTTTTCACAGTTGTTACAGTTTATTTTGTAGATGATGTTGGTTTTGTCTTCTTTTGCTGTTGAGTCTTTTGGTTGACATAGAATTGAGTGCAGCGACTTTGTTGGTTTGTGTACGACGTCAATTCCTAAAGGTTTGAAGAGTCTTTTAGTGATTTCTGAGATATCCTTTATATATGGTAAGGCGATTTTCTTTGTGGTTTCCTTGGTGGCTTTTGTTTTGGTAGGTTGGCTTGGGGGTATATGTCTCTTGATGAAATTCCGGGATATCCATTCTTTTGGAAGACGTCCATGAGATACTTTTCTTCAATTTTTCTTAAGGTGGGAGTGCTGCAGTGAGTCCTTGCTCTCTTGAATAGTGTTTGTATGCAGTTCCTTTTGTGTGCTATTGGGTTGTTGCTGTTGTAATTCAGTATTTGGTCTGTGTGAGTTGATTTCCTATAAACTTGAGTTTCTAATTCTCCTGTAGTTGTTCGCCTGACTAAGACGTCCAAAAATGGTATTTTGTTCTCGGATTCCTCTTCTCTTGTGAATTTGATGTCGTTGAAGACGTTGTTTATTAAGTTGTGAGTTTTGTCTAATTCGTTTCTTTTGATTATTACAAATGTGTCGTCGACGTAGCGTATCCAAATCTTGGGTTTGATCTTTGGTAGAATTATGTTTTCGAGTCTTTGCATCACTGCTTCTGCAATCAAACCTGATATTGGCGATCCCATGGGTGTTCCTTTGACTTGTTCATATATTTGGCCGTTGAATTGGAAGTATGTTGTTAGGCATAGATTTATGCATTCCATCCAGCTTGTGTGTTGCATTTTTGATTGTTGTGGAAGTTGTTCGTCGTTGCTAAGTAATTGCTCCATGGTTTCTTTTGCTAGTTTTTGTCCGATAGAGGTATATAATGCTGTCACGTCGAAGGATACCATTATTTCTTGTTCATCTATTTGGATGTCTCTGATTTTCTCTAGGAATTGGATAGCAGAGTTGATGGAGTGATCACAGGATTCCGTTAGGTGTTTTAGTTTTCTGTATAATTCCTTGGACAAATTATATGTTGGAGTTCCTGGGAGTGATACAATTGGTCGTAACGGGATATTTGCCTTGTGTATTTTGGGTCTGCCGTAGAATCGAGGTAGGACTGGTCCATTGGATTTCATTCGCCATTGGTCTTGTTTTGTGATCTGTCCAGTTTTGCTGAGCTTGTTTAAGGTCCTTTGGATGCGGTTGTCCAATGTTTGTATGGGATTTGTTGGGAGTTGTTGATATACATCTTCATCTTTGAGTAGTTCTTCAGCTTTCTTGGTGTATTCTTCTCTGTCCATGACTACTGTTGTTCTTCCTTTGTCGGCTGGTAAAATGACGATGTCCTTCCTATTTTTCAGCTTTTTGAGGGCCTTTAGTTCTTGAGAGTTGAGTTGTGTGTGTTGTCTTTTCTGTTTGACCATTGGTACAATTGTTTGGCGTATCTCTTCCTGTGTTTCCTCGTTCAAGTTTGATGATTTGAGTAATGATTCAAGGGCAGCGAAGAAATCAGTTTTTGAAGCATCTCCGGTGTTGTAGTTTAATCCTTTTTGTAGTAGTTGTTGTTCCATTTTTGATAGTGGTTGTTTTGATAGGTTGACTACGCAGTCTATGGGCGTATTGTCTGGTTGTTGTTTTCTAATCTTGGCTAGCTTGGTTTTGAGGACTCTTCGTCTTTGTTCTCTGTGTTTTCCACTTGACAGTGAAATTGCGGTGATCAGCGTTGACAGGTGTTCTTGGTTGAGGGTTTTCTCTAATTTTGCTTTTTGGACATCTATTATTTGTTGATATTTGTTGATCCGATAATGTGCGTCCGTAATCATTAATTTGACCATTCGTCTTCCACAT